CGGTATGATACTATTTCCTTGTACATGTTCCATATCTATTCTACCTAACCGTCTGATTCGTGTGATACTATTTCCGAAGAAACCCAGAAGGACTCCCCGCCCGGTCACATTATACTGAGTCTGGTAGGTGTGATACTATTTCACTGTGCATGCTCCATATCTATTCTACCTACCCGTCTGATCGGTATGATACTATTTCCTTGTACATGTTCCATATCTATTCTACCTAACCGTCTGATTGGTGTGATACTATTTCCGAAGAAACCCAGAAGGACACCCCGCCCGGTCACATTATACTGACAACGGGCGAACCAGTCGTCCCACTCCTAAATTGCTGAGCGTTAAACAGGAGTAGAAACAACCTTTTTCACAGACTCTTGTATGTCTCGGCCAGGGGACAGAACCCAAAGCATTCCTTACAGGGGCGAACGCTCAATTAAAGGCCAAAAGTGAGGCATTGTCGAAGGAGACACTAGGAAGAAGAAAGTCGTTTAGAAAGAAGAGAAAGGATAAGATCCCAAATTTAGTTGCCTCTTATGATCATGCAATGGGGGCAGCAGGTACAATTTTTACGTCCTACCTGCAGGGACTGTATATTCACGTGGGAAATGACCTGCAATTTAAGTTGAGGAATTGCTGCTCAAGATTATACTTTCAATTCATTTGGGGAAATTTGTCTTGATAGAATTATAATATAATTAAACAAAACTATATCAATACATATTGTCGAGGATGTTTTTAACCCCTAAACTATAGACCAAAGTCATATAGTACTGCTGAATAGGATACTATAAACACATACTTAAGGCACAATGTTAAGTCATGGTGCTGGTGTATATATTAGTGAAACACAAAATTATCAATTGTAACATTCAGCGTATTTTTTCGTTTGTATCACAAATTCATGTATGTACTATTTTGTATTGTTTTGTGTTTTATGCGATAATCACTGTAGTTTGTTTGAATTGGAATGGTTGTGTTTTACGTCATAACATCTTTGACCATTTTAGAGCGTTCCGGGTTTTGGTGGTGGAAGAAAGCCGGAGTACCCGGAGAAAAAACACCTGGTGACTATCCCACGTAATCCTCGAACCCGCGACCCAGTGGAGGCGGGCTTGTGATCGTAGACGGTCAGACGCCTTATCAACAGACCAGCGCGATCCCGTATTAAGGTAAGTCATATAGAATACTGTACAGCTTCAACATTCCACTATAAAATCGAAAGTCAGAGGCTATCCGAACAGAAATCAACAGGAATCGAGGAGACACCAAAACAAAAGGACACCATGACCCCTTCAGTGTTATAATTCATTTACCACCTTGTCTACTTGTTACGTTGATCTCCAGGTAACAGTTTGTCAAATATGATATATGTCGGTATCTTGTTGCTATGTTACGTTATATCAAAGTGATTGGTAGATATAGCTAGTTGTTAACTATGTTACCGTAAAAACAATATGCTTGACGTCATAGATTTCAACGTGATGATGTCGCGGATTAGTTAACACAAACTTAACACTAAATTAATTCAATTTAAGTTTCACCAAATATTTCTGCTTTATTTGTTTCATTGATCTCATATGAGATGAAACTTCGTTACAGAAAACTTAAAGTATCCTCAGTGCTTTCCCTTTCTTGTCTTCAACTTGATATTTAAGTCTTCATGATATTCATGCTGTATATACAAAACCAAAGCACATTTCGATAGTAGGTCCACGAAGCTCTCTTCCTTTGCTGGCCTCAATTCGACTGACCAGTTGTATTAGTCATGTGATTTTACTGTGAATGTTAAAGTATCCTCAGTTTTATTTATCTCCTGTCTGCAACTTGATCTTGAAGTATTGAGTAGTTAATTTTTTCTGATCTTTGTCAACCCAGACATGCTTTATCATCCATCATGTAGATTCCATCTTCTTACCCAACCATCCATATTCCTTTCTTTATATATCGGCTATAATTTTCCGTGCTTTGGTTGTGTACTGTGGTATATTTTGCTCTTGTGTGTAGAGTGTGTTGTATCAATGTTGTCTTTGCTTGCTTCCACAATGGTATGTCTTGTCCTTTCATATTTAAATTGTGGTGCATTTTATTGTTTTTCTTGTGTAATGATTTTTGGTTAATAATGGCATTGTGTTATGTCGTGATATGTGTTGTCTTTCTGTGTGGATGTCGTGATATATCTCTTCTTTTGTATTGAAAAATAATGGTAGATTTTGTTCCTGTGTGTTGACCGTTTGTTCGTTGACGCTGTAGTATATATTTAGTTAACCTAACTCCCTGCTATGTTGAATTTCATTAGTTCAGTACGTCTGACTTTTATAGAATGATAAATTTCCTTTTTCTGACACGTTTATATATACACCGGTAGCTATGACGGATGATGTCCCATTCCTAATTGACACGCGACTGGGATAATATGATCAGCCATAAATGTATCATGGTTTCCGGTTTGTATAATAAAAATAAACTGATGAATTATTTCACTTATTTATTATTGTCATAATTATATACCTTGAAACGTGGGCTGCTATCTGACAGTAATATAACTGTTTCGTTTATAAAAAAAATATCTGTGTACCTCATTTACAGTATATATTTGTCAACTTATTATTGATGTCTTATTATTTCAGGCTTCATGTGTTGGAATGGAAAACTGTTATATATACCGTGACATGAATACCTCGGGTGTATACACACATATCTCACTGACAGTTCAGCCCGTTAGGTGGAGATATATACATGTTTTTGTCGGGAACTAAAAGGATACATTTTCCTAAATCATTACGGGAGAGGAAGCAAAAAGAAAAAACAGATTTCATGTCTTTGATATGACAGCGAGAACACTACATTATAGGTCATAGATTGATGTAATGTATACCTTATAAAAATGACCTGCATGCTACCACATTCGCCAGTAGATTGGATTGATAATATATGGCGGGTACGAACTAATGTGTAATCATTATATGGAATTTCAGTTCAAATTACATTTACCTGAATATTACATTCAAGTCACATTTTTGCTTATATTATATAATTAAAAAGCACTTATTTAATTTTATCTATATTTGAGGTGATTTTACGTTGCATGAGGGTTATGTGCCTTCCATAATTACATTAGCTAGTTTCTACGCCTCTTTGACTATTTCACTGTCCTTCTATACTTGGCAATGTCTTTTATGTAATAGATTATCCCTTTCTGTACTGGCTAGTTAATTGTATGTATTTAAGCTCAAGGTAACCATATCAATGCGTTCTAATTGCGTTTGTTCTGGTTTTCCTGCTCCTTTCCAAAAGACCTATCGGAGAACGGAGAACAATCATTTCACGCAGTCCACGCCCAACAGCAGTCGATTCAGTATACCCTGACACTATGTCGTATGTCACCAAACCCATACTTTCAAGTAAACGGGCGTTGATTGTTGAAGATAACTATTTATGGATGGCGACGTTAGAAATAGAGGCTTTTTAACCTATGTGTTCTTAAGTCAGGGACATTAACATCTTTTTCTCCGTAGGTAGTACATTAGTTCCGTAAGATGTCGTTGGTTTGACGATGTTTAGGGATCATTAACCGTCATGTACAATATATTTAAACCTACAAATTAATGGATAACGAATTACAGAAAAAGAAGCCTTGGTTGTGTAACATGTTTTGTTTTAGCCAAGCAAGAAAGCCAAACAAATCGCAACAAATGTTACACTAGTTTTATAATTGGTCGAGCGGAACACGTCCATTGGAGTGGCCCTTGAGTTGCTAGGATACCATTGTATATTACCATAGCTGTTGTGAAGACTCAAAACTTGAACACAAACACACGATTCTTCCCTTTTGTTTGGTTATGGTTTGAGTATGCAAGAAAATATTTTTCCGTTTATATTCACATTCAACAAGTCATATGTTTGCCTTCGAACCCTTTTAAAGACGGACTTATTTGTGAAAATTAACAGAACTTAAAATACTTACCCTCGTGAATGTTCCAAAGGGAATTTCCCGGACTCCCATATAGTATTCTTCTCCTACTTCTCCTGGGGAACAGGACCGGATGTTGGACTTTGGTCTACACATACCATACCTGTCAACACCAAAGTGCTATTGCTCATTTGCGCCTTTACATAACTAAACAACTGTCAAAACTGACTAACATTGAGCATGCATAACTTATAACATAGACAAAAGTAAACATTTACACCATTATATACCTGTTGTATAAAACAGCTAAGCATACTTGTATATTCGAATTTTTCATTATATATTATACTCCTTAAGCAAGGTACTGTAGATCATAGGCATGTTGCACTGAACGTCACCATCTAGGGACCAATTAGATGAACACAAATTATCTTGCTTCAAACACGTTTCCTCTGCCAGACAGGAGAAGCCTTGATATCTACAATGGCCGCCATGCCTTGTTAAGTCAGAGGCGAGAACAGTCGTCCATTCGTGCTTTTCAAAGCATTGTTATCTTTACGAAATAAAACAGTTTACCTTTTCAAATAACACAACAATGTTATTGTTATGTTAAAACTGCCTTACTATCACCAGTAAAAAAATAACGAAACAAAACATAAACATGTTGCTTCAAAATAAAGTTATGAAACATTTTATTTAACTACCATGCCCTAGACTGGACTTTACTTGACGTTCACCATACGAGACACTCACTGTCACATGTTTATCAGAAACGCAGTTATCTATTTCATTCAACGAGCTCTATCGGGGAAATGCATATCACAATAGGTAATAAATGAAGAAGCACAGACATCGGATTTGCTGCAATAAGTAAGCAGTATTTCTTAAGCAAACAATCATGTTTCGTTTTTAATTTGAGTCATTTCAATGGCTGCTGCTTTTGTCTCAAATGTGTAGCATGGAACAATTCAATGATTTTATATATTGAAAACATTTCACAAAACAATAGGTCAGAATATTTCTTTTAAGTCATCATGGAAATACTGCATTGTATATGACAATTTAACGTCTCAGCGAAGCGGAAGAAAACCTGAGGCATTCTTGACACTTAAATGTCTGTGACTGTAGGCACGGGTTTTTGACGCTAATTACTTCAACCAGAAGTCACCGGTGTAAAACGATTTTTCGTCTTAATTTATCCATTGTTTTTAAAAAAATAAATGTTTTTTTGGTGTTTTTTTTGTAAATCTCTTAATTATTTTAACAAATATCTTTTAACACGATTGTACTTCAACTGAATTTATTTCGCAAAAAATTTCATTGTGTATTCATCAATGTTCGCTATATATTTCTTAATCGATTGACATTTAACGCCGTATAATCTCGAAAATATTTTTTCCGCGAAACGTTAATTATTTACAGTAAATTTAAAGCTATTCTCTTAAAGCTGACAACACCCGTTAAGACCGTCAATGAATTTTCCAATATTGTTTTTTTCTTAATCGTCGCCGGTAAAGAGAAATTCCGTCTCTGTCAGCAGATATATAGGGTTTTGCTGCGATGCTAATAGGTCAACCTCGCCGCTTGCCGATAGTAATAAAATCCAGATTGTTCCCTCTTTTGTGTTTTTTTCTCCTGGCATTTTCTTTTATATGTCTTTGGATTTCATTAAGAAAATGCTGAGTAAACAGATAAATGATACCTTTGTTTTCAAGTTATCTTAAGTTATATTACATATCTATATTTACATTTTCACTCAACTTAGACTTATTATACCTACCAAAGAATATTAAAGTTATTTTTTCGGTAGACTTTCCAGTTGACGTATGAATACGTCAGTAACAGTAACAAAACGCAGGAAATAGTTCCTTTCATAGTTTGTTTTCAATAATAATTCAAAAGTTTCAGATTGCATTGATGTGTTTTGTTGTTTTAACTTTGTAATCAATACAAAACAACTATTTTTCTTACTAGCATGACGTCACATGCGTTGGAACCTCCCTTGGAATAGACTATCAACAACAAAAATATATCAAAATCTCACTGATTGTAAATAAAAGGAATGAATCATGGTGTGATGAGGTTTATGGTGTAAAATACTCAATGGGTCTTAAAACGAATTGGTAATGAAATCCGAAGAAATTTATACAAAGTGATCTATTACTTAAATGGTAAGCTTATCATAAATGTCTCTTGAAAAAGCTTGAGATATATCGGGTGCTTGTAGAAAAGGGTTTTACTTATTCATCATCTGAAGATGGGAACATCGCTTCGATCTTAAATCGCTTAGAAGACTTTTGTCAAATACTCAACATATCCTGAAATACTGAAACTATCAGACTTGGCTACAAATACCACGTTATAACTTCATGATACGCGATTTTGAATTTAAATTCTGGTAAACGTTTCAAAGAAAATAACCGTTAATTGAACCGGAACTTTTACCATTTTTTTTTTTTTCGTTGTATTGAGTGTTCAAATGAAAACTTTGAAATGATGAAGATTCGTACACAGACTCATAAGGAATTACCTCACACACGATATGCAAATCATTTAGGAAGAACTCACTTTTTGTTTGGCCTGACAAAATTATTGTCTTGCAAATTGTATAAATAGCATAAATAGAATGCTACTTGTCAGTGTATTTTATATCTTGATCTTAAATATGTGATATTATTTAAGCTGTTTTGGATTGCTAAATATGGAAATGAGGGTCATTAAAACATGTTACAAATGGGGGGGGG